CACAATGCATCCCTATACATACACAGAAACACAACATGCTTCCCTTACACACAGAGAAACACACTGCATCCATTACACACACACAATGCAACCCTTACACACATAGACAATGCATCCTTTGCACACATACACAGAAACAGACAATGCAAACCCGTACACACTTCTTTTCTTACATACACACAGAAACACAATGCATCTCATGCACACACATACAGACACACACCTTTGCATCCCTTATGCATACAAACACAGATTCACACAATGCATCCCTTACACACAACCAGAAACACATAATACATCCCTTATACACAAATACACACTGCTTCCACTACACACACACACACTGCATCACCTGCACAAACTGGTAACCCTAAACACTACATACCATAAGCACACATATTAGATCCTCTACAATAACACATAACACATCCCCTACACACTCCACTCCCTGTGAGCGAACTCACGGGTGGGTGGAACTTATGAGTGGAGCCTTATGGGCATACTCACCCGTCAGGCCCTGGGGCCCAGACCTTAGGAAGGCTGTAAGGGGCCCCCAAAAAATTGAGCTGCTTCCAATTCTCCCAGAACATTGAATTTTGTGACCACAGTTGCAAACAGCCTCCAGAGATCCTGTTCTACACCAGACCAGTGGAGCCAAACTGCAGCCATCATCATCCTCATCTGCTTGTAAGTAGGCAATCTAGTATATTATTAGTGACACTAATCTATAATTTACCTCACATTAAAGGGACACTATAGCTTAATGAAGTGGTTCTGGTGTCTATAGCTGGTCCCTGCAGGCTTTTTAATGTAAACACACACTGTGTGCAACACTGGCGTTAGTTCATATGGCAGATCATATGGGTGGGGCATTGTGATGTGACATGTGGGGGCAGCAAATTTTTATTTTGTCTAGGGCGGCAAAAATCCTTGCACCGGCTCTGATCCTGGGCAGGTGCACCAGTCTACTTGACTGGTTTTGCCCCCAGGCCTAAGGCTGCCAGCCCTCTGCTCCCCAGCACGCAGCTGAATGAGACCGGCGCCGGAATATGACGCCATATTCCGGCGCCAGTCTCATTCAGCAGCGCGGGAGGGCGGGAGGACACTAACACAGGAAGCACCTCTAGTGACCGTCTGAGTGACTGTCACTAGCAGTGTCACTTTGAAGCAATGTAAACACTGCCTTTTGTCTGAAAAGTCAGTGTTTAAGTTGAAAAGCCTGTAGGGACATGCTATAGACACCAGTACCACCACATTAAGCTGTGTGTGTGTGCCTGCTAGTGAGTGAGCTTGCTTGCATGTGTGTGCCTGCTAGTGAGTGAGCTTGTGTTTTTATGTCACTGAGCTGATGTATATCAATAAGATTGTTTGTCTATGAGGCTGTGTATCAATGAGCTTGTGTGTGTCACTGAAATGTCAGTGAAATTGCCTGTGTCTGCATGTGAGTATGCTTACTGTATAATTAAACGTTTTACCCTGAAAGGACCAATATTTTATATTAGAAAAGCAATATATATATATATATATATATATATATATATATATATTACTCAATCATCTGTCCTGGAAAGATATAGCCTTACATATTACACGCGACAATATATGGCGCAGTGACTTATGGGGCTGGCACAAATTTTTTTTCCAGGGCTGCTTTGTATCCCCAGTCCGGCCCTGACCAGTAAGCACGGGCAGGGACACTATATCTCCCTAACTGCACACTGTGCAAATGTAGTGGCGGCTTGGCCTGAGGCGGATAGCAGTTTGGCACATGTCCCTCTGCCACCGAGGATTGCAGGGCATTTCTCTTTGCCTCCTGTTGCCCCCTCCTCCTACTACTCTTCCTCCTCCTCTACCACCACCTCATCCAGGCAGCGTAACACCTTCACCACCAACTTCAGCACAGCCAGGGGGAAACGACAGCAGGCTGTTGTAAAACTCATATGTTTGGGGAAAAACCCCACACCGCGCAGGAGCTGTGGACGGGCATGGAACAACAGACCGATGAGTGGTTATTGCCACTGAGCCTCAAGCCCGGCCTGGTGGTGTGCGATAATGGGCAAAATCTCGTAGCAGCTCTGGGCCTAGCCGGTTTGATGCACACCCCTTGCCTGGCGCATGTGCAGAATTTGGTGGTGCAGAAATTCCTGAAAAACTACCCAGATATATCAGAGCTGCTGCAGAAAGTGCGGGCTGTCTGTGCGCGCTTTCGGCATTCTCACCCTGCTGCTGCTTGTCTGTGAGCTGCAGCGGAACTTCGCCTCATATGCGACGTGCCCACAAGGTGGAACTCCATCTTGCACATGCTGGAGAGACTGTGCGAGCAGCAGCAGGCAATTGTGGAGTTTCAGATGCAGCACGCACGGGTCAGTCGCTCTGCAGAACAGCACCACTTCAACACGAATGAGTGGGCCTCCATGCAAGACCTGTGTGCCATTTTGCACTGTTTCAAGTACTCCACCAACATGGCCAGTGCCGATGACGCCGTTCTCAGCCTTACTATCCCGCTTCTATATCTCATTGAAAATTTGCTTCCGGCGATGATGGAAGAGGATGTGGCACAGGAGGAAGAGGAGGAGGAAGAGGGGTCATTTCCACAGTTATCAGGCCAGTCATTCACAAGTGGCTTGGAGGGTGGGTTCCTGCAGAAGGATAATGAGGATGAGGAGGAGGAGGAGGAGGAACCATGTTCACAGCAGGGTGGCACCCAACGCAGCTCGTGGGCATCACTGGAGCATGGCTGGGGGGATATGGAGGACACAGATGATACACCTCCTACAGAGGACAGCTGGTCCTTGCCTCTGGGCAGACTGGCACACATGAGCGACTACATGCTACAGAGTTGCCCACATTCTAGCTTGTGCTGATTACTGGGTTGCCACCCTGCTGGATCACCGTTACAAGGACAACGTGCCATCCTTAATTCCCTCACTGGAGCGTAATCGGAAGATGCACGACTACAAGCGCATGCTGGTAGACGCGCTGCTGAGGACATTCCCAACTGACACCGGGGGCTCAGGGGAAGCACAAGGCAAAGGCAGAGGAGGAGGAAGAGGTCGCCAATGCAGCTTGGGCACCGCCAGCACCTCAGAAGGCAGGGTTAGCATGGCCGAAATGTGGAAAAATTTTGTCAGCACGTCACAACAACCAGCACCATCAGCTGATATGGAACGTCTTAGCAGGAGGCAGCATTTCAGCAACATGGTGGAACAGTATGTGTGCACACGCCTACACATACTGACTGATGGGTCTGCCCCATTCAACTTCTGGGTCTCCAAATTGGGCACATGGCCTGAGCTTGCCCTTTATGCCTTGGAGGTGCTGGCCTGCCCTGCAGCCAGTGTATTGTCTGAACGTGTGTTTAGCACGGCAGGGGGCGTTATCACAGACAAGCACCTGTTCACAGCCAACGTTTATTAAAATGAACCAGGCATGGATCCCACCAGACTTGTCTGTACCTTGTGCAGAATAGACATTTATACCGGCCTCTCCCAGCCATTGTTATACTCAAGTGCACTTGAGTACAAGTGCAAAAAAAGAAAAAAACCAAAGAATATGTCCCAATATTTTGGAGGCTACCCCAATAAAAAAACAAAAAAAACCAAACAAAAACAAACAAACAAGTGTTGGCTACCTCCTCCTCCACCGCCACGATGTATACCAAGATATATCAGAGCTGCTGCAGAAAGTGCGGGCCACCTGTGCGCGCTTTTGGCGTTCTCATCCGGCTGCTGCTCGCTTGTCTATGCTGCAGTGGAACTTCGGCCTTCCCACTCACCGCCTCATGAGACTGTGCGAGCAGCAGCAGGTGATAGTGGAGTTTCAGCTGCAACACGAACGGGTCAGTCGCTCTGCGGAACAGAGTTTTCTTTTTTTTATAGAAAAATATTTTGGGAAATGCCCCAATTAAAATTATATATATATATACACACACACAATATATATATATATATATATATATATATATATATATATTAAAAAAACAGTGGTGGCTACCTCCTCCTCCACCGCTGCTTCCACCTACACCGCCACGGTCACCGCCCCCTCAACCTATGGGTCACTTAGTATAAACTATGTACACAATAGCAGAGGCTTGTGAAGGCCTTTTCTCCATGCATCAGGAGTTGAGCTCAGTTTGAACAATGAAAGAGAATACCCTGCACTCCAACCCTCTCTCAAGTGGATAATTCTGGTGATCCTCCTGACAGCTATGCTTTAGAATTTGATTTATGTTCTTTCAAAGCTATAATCAAAGATTCCATCTAGTGGCATTTTATGGCTCAGCTGTTTGTTTGTTTTTTTATGTTATTTTAAGTGATTTCCCTATCCACATTTGTTTGCAGGGCACTTGTCCTTTTTTTAGAGGCATTTTTGTGGCCAAAAGTTCAGGTCCGGGGTCAAGTTCGATCACGAACCCGGACTTTTTTTCAAAGTTTGGTCGAACCTTGGCATTAACTTATACCTGAACTAGTTGGTGAATTCTTCTCTGAAATTTATCAGTGCTCTAAGCACAGCACATCACATCCATTAACGCACGTATCTAAGAGCTGAAATAGAAGCTCTCCTCTTGTGGGTGTATTTTATCTTAACCCCTTCAGCGCCACGGGAGGGGGATCCTGAGGGTGGGGGCACCCTCAGGGCATTATAGTGTCAGGAAAACCGCTTTGTTTTCCTGACACTATAGTGATTCTTTAATTCTCTCTCTCTCACACACACACACTCTTCCAATGTCTTTTTTTTTTTTTTAACTACAATGCTACTCATTTCCCTAGTTTGCTCTCTCTGCCTCTCTCTTTAAAAGGACCACTATGGGCACCCAAACAACTTAAGCTTAATGAAGAGAAACTGCTATGTTTATATTAGGGTTAATCCAGCCTCTAGTGGCGGTCTCATTGACAGCCGCTAGATGGCTTCCGCGCTTCTCACTGTGATATTCACAGTGAGAAAACGCCAGCGTCCATAGGGAAGCATTGAGAATGCTTTACGATGGACTGGCTGAATGCGCGCGCGGCTCTTGCTGCACATGCGCATTCAGCCGAGGAGGTGGAGAGGAGGAGGAGAGTTCCCCGCCCGGCGCTGGAGAAAGAGGCAAGTTTAACCCCTTCCTCCCCCCAGAGCCCGGCGGGAAGGGGTACCCTCAGGCACTATATGACCAGATAAGCGAGTACTTAACCATAACCGGGCCTTTTGCCTTAGTAAGTTCAGTCAATGGGTTGGCAATGGTAGCGTACACAGGGATGAACCTGCGATAGTAGCTGGTTAAGCCTAAAAAAGCTCTGACTTGCTT